CTTAAGATAAAATCCATCGAGTCGTTTGGTTGGTTAATATATTTCTGCAAATACCTATTGATCTCTTCAATTTCATATGCTCCACTTGGAATTGTAATCTCTTGTTCCTTTGCATCGTTCGATGTATAATAAAATTTATTATTACCTTCGAATATATTTCGTATAGAATTGCATCCGTAAAATCCCACCAATCCCAAGCCATATTGGAAACTCGAGTCAAGCTCTATTGGTGGGAAATACGTAGTACTGAGCACGTTTCCTACACCCGTTAGCGTGAACGTTCGAGACATGATTGATAGGTAGAAATGAAAACTAGCGTTTTAGATGTAAATTATTTATTATACAGAAAGTTTAAACACAAGTGTCCACATATAAACGTGTTATAGTTTTGCTCTCTATCATAATTATAAACAATCTTACAACCTTTTAAGTATTTAACTATTTCATTTGGAGGGCCTAAGTCTCCAAAACTATCATAGTAAACCGCTTTCCTGCCGCGTTTCTTGTAAGCAACCCAATGAGTACCTCTTCCCTGGCTATCATCCAGGTTCACAATAGCGCATTCGTTAAAATGGGGCTTTTGAGGTAATGTGTTGCGCATGAATACTCCTCTAAAGAACGGTACATTTTTAGCGTATTTATGCAGATCGAAATTGGTTAATGCTTTCCGCGGCAAGTTTAGTCGTTTTTTGGAAAAGGTTTCAAATATAAGGCGTAACCCTTCTTATATGGCTTAAGGTAGAGTGCTCCACCGCTTTTATTGCCCAACGCTACAGCCTCCATTGTGGCATTATGACGTTGACTCTCTTCCAATTGCTTCTTAGCTGCAGATGCTTCGTTAACCGCTTTAGCTATCCCACTTGCTCCACCGGCTAGTGCACCGGCAGCCGAAAGGCCCGCAAATAACGGTATAAGGAAAGGAAGAAAGCCGCCAATTTTAGGTATAGGAATAACTCTCGGCACTCGCACCTTCTTTTTACCGCCCGCTACTTTAACCGCTTTCTTTGCCGCGGCCAAACTCACATCGACAAGTTTCTTTATGCTTGCATCTTTCATCCGCCTTATTGAATTTCGAGCATGCGATAGAACTCCTCCTCTAAACGAGCAACTCTTATGCTTCATTTTTCTTTCTTTCTTCTTGCGTTGCGCAACTCCCATTCCTAGCTTCCTTTTAACTTTCATCGCGGCGGCTACGGCTAAAGCGGCAGTTTTTTCTCCAAAACTCGAATCTTTCGATTTTACGCGACTCCAAGCTTGGTTTTGAAGGTCCTTGTCAGCTTTATGGCGATGCTCTAAGTCTTTGAATTGACCGTACGCGATATCGTGTTGTTTACATGCAGCATCCAACGGATTTATTCCAGAATCACCGCGAGCTAAACGCTGTTCCAACTTTGTTCCAGGGCCGCAGTACTGATATCCGGGAATATGAAGTTCTACTGGTAATTTGTTTATTAAAGTGTTAATCAACCCCTTTCTTACTCGGTGATTAGCCATGAACTGTTAGTATAACTAGAACCAGCGACTAATAATGATGTTTATAAAGCAGCCTCAACATTTAAACGTAGATAATCACGATTTTCTAAAATCAGAAGTAGTGGGGAGGCATGGGCCTTTATTTCCAGCATCAATTAGAGCAGTGATCTGCGGTCCTTCGGGGTGCGGAAAGACAAATGTCATGATTAGTTTATTGGAAGCACCGCACGGCCTTTCGTTTGAAAACGTGTATGTATACTCAAAGTCGCTAGAGCAGCCAAAGTACAAGTACCTGGAGCAAATACTTACACCTATCAAGGGTATTGAGTACAATGCTTTTAGCGATAAGGCTGACGTAATCACTCTCGAAGAGATTAATAAGAATTCGATAATGATCTTTGATGACGTGGCCTGTCTAAATCAAGACGTAATTAGAGATTACTTCTGCAGAGGACGACATTCCGGGGTGGACTCATTCTATCTTTGTCAAACATATTCAAAGATACCGAAACAATTAATACGCGATAATGTTAACGTTATTGTTCTATTCAAACAAGACTATTTAAATTTAAAACATGTGTATGACGAGCACGTTGGTACAGATATGACCTTTGATCAGTTTAAATTAATGTGTTCAAAGTGTTGGGTCGATAAGTATAATTTTATCTGTATAGTGAAAGACTTTGACTACGGTAGATATCGAAAAGGGTTCGACTGCTATATTAGATTATAATCTGATTTAATAGAACCGGTCCAACAGCTATCCAACGGCTTTGTCCATCAGGTCCATCAGCTTTTCCAACTGGTACATCAGCTTTGCCAACTGATCCAACTGCTTTGCCAACTGGTCTATCAGCTTTGCCAACTGGTCCAAGTGCTTTGTCAACTGGTCTATCAGCTTTGCCAACTGGTCCATTAGCTTTGCCAACTGGTCCAACTGCTTTGTCAACTGGTCTATCAGCTTTCCCAACTGGTTCATCTGCTTTGCCAACTAGTCCAACAGCTATCAATCGGCTTTGCGATCCGGTCCAACAGCTATTTGAACCGGTGCCAGTTTGAAAATCTGTGTAGGCCATAAAGATGAACGCAAGAGATAAAACGATAAAGCAGAAATTGACGAAGACCCGCAATGCTATCAAGCGTAAGCTTGAAGTGCTAAAAAGAGGCGAGCTTGAAACTCAACGCTTGGTTGAAGCAACATATAAGCCAATAGTAGAACCACTTAAAAAGATAGCTAAGCAAGAACCCAAAATACGTAATATGATACCGAAAGTTGAACATAAAATCGAATATGAATCTACCCCAATTCAAGAAGAAGAACAGTTCCGAACACCACAGCGCTCTGAAAATGGACCAATCACAGCAGCTGCTAAACGACTTAATTTTATCGAAACTGATGAGATTAGTAACATAGCGTATGATAACGGGAAAGAAGGTGAAGATGAGGACACTACTGAAACGATTAACTTATCACAATTACTCGACACTGAAGACGCCGCTCAACAATTTCTAAATCAGTATCATGTTTTGCCGCGCCAATATATCGAACGAATGATTAAAGATACCAAAGGCGACATTGATCACTTTTATGGTCTTCGATATGATGCCAATTTCGATCAGTGGGCTATTGGAGACTCTAAAGTGACATTTGACGGACCGAATTTAATAATAAAGGATAAAATTTACAACGGTACTCCAGGGTTGTATGAATTGCTTGTACTGAAAAAGCCTCAAGAATTTTCTTCCAAGGATGGACGAGTGTATAAGGAAATTTTAGATGTCACTAATGGCTACCGAAGGAATTACGATCCAGGTCATCAGATTGTGGGTACCAAGTCGCATAAATATCGCAATATCCTTAAACCACTACTATCGGAGCACTATGGAACGGGTATGAAAGAGGTAAACAATACAGTTAAAGAGTACGTGTAATGGAATACGCCCCACGAATTAGTCGAACGTCTTAGATTGCTGCATGCATCGAGAGTAGCCGGTCACACCGGTCACAACAATGAAATCTCAAGTATTGAGGAGGAGCTCAGAGAAGAAGGCATAATAGTTTAGTGTAACAATGAGCGTTGACAAGTTTGGACGTCATTCATCATCAAGAAATAGGATTCGCAGTGATCAGGAGACAACAGGTGAATGTGCAAAAGTTAATTTGAAATTAACCGGTGATGGGGACTATAATATGCAAAATAAGAGGATTCGTAACGTTATCGACCCGTATTGGGGTAGCGATGTTGCCACCAAACAATATGTGGATAGGTGTATTAGCGAGCTGCATGCTAAGTACACAATGAATCGGTATAACATGGAGAGTAATCGTTTAAGACACGTAGCAGATCCGGTGGAACATGATGAAGCAGTAACCAGCGGTTTTCTCGCAGTGCGTCTAAATACAATTATGTCAATCTTAGACGGACATAAAAATTATTTGGAGGAGTTAGAAAAGGAAATAAACAAACACCATAGAACTAGGCTAGGTTTCGATTAGCCTCCGAGTTAAGTGTAAGATGTCAAAGCTTGAGGTTGTCGAAGAGCTACATAAGCCCGCTCGCAAAAATTTTCCTCGAAAACGAACCATTATTAAACATCGCGATGATTTATGGCAAGCGGATTTAGCCGAATTCATACAGTACTCTAAAGAGAACCGGGGAAATAAATACATGCTGACGGTAATAGACTGCTATTCGAAGTATCTTTGGACACGACCTTTAAAATCAAAGAATGCCGGTGAAGTGTGTAAGGCTATGACATCTATTTTGAAAGAAGGAAGAGTGCCAGTCAATTTACAAACTGATCAAGGAAAGGAATTCTATAATAAGGAGTTTGCAAAGTTAACGGAAACGCATGCGATAAATCATTACTCTACGTATAGTGTGAAAAAGGCCGCTGTAGTTGAGAGGACGATAAGAACGCTGAAAAACGCCTTATACAAGGCATTTAGTCTTCAAGGAAAATATAAGTGGATCGATGTGCTACCGGAAATAACCTCGAAATATAACAATACAAGGCATTCCACGATTAAAATGAAACCCAAGGATGTAACCTCTAAAACATATTTACCAATGTTCCACAACATAAAATTTATGGGGCCCGCGAAATTTAAAATTGGTGACTACGTTCGGATCTCGAAGTATAAATCCGTATTTTCAAAAGGCTATACTCCGAACTTTTCCACAGAATTATTTAAAATTACAAAAGTGAAGGTTGGCAATCCCGCTACATATCTATTAGAGGATTTACTATCCAAACCGATAATGGGTCAATTCTACGCAGAAGAATTACAGAAAACCGCTCATCGGGATATCTTTCTCATTGAGAAAGTTTTGAGGCGCAAAGGAGACCAGCTCTACGTTCGATGGCTTGGGATGGACAAATCGCATGACTCTTGGATTAAAAAATCAGATTTTGTATAACTGCTATTTATATATTTTCATATACATGTTTCTTTTACAATAAATAAACAAAATATAATATTATATAATCAACTATAAATATGAACATCCATTCGATATATTTTCTTATCCTAAATCCATTTCAGCGGGAATACTATAATGTCCCCAAGGCAACGTATCAATACCATTTGAGGTTAAATACCTCTTATCGTCCTTATTACTTAAGGCAACTTTCTTTTGCTCCATACTATATACATGGTGATTCTTTGATACGATGCTGCTTTGGGCGACACTTTTAGTAATCCCGCTCCTTAAACATTCTAAATAATCATCAAAAGTTAATCTATTTTTTACAATATAATCTCTAACGCCTTTTAATTTCATTACATCCTTATCACTATCCTTAATTTTAAAACTATACATTTTAGAAGCCAAAGCCACCCAATCGGTTATGATTCTACCGCCCAATTCATCCTTCATCATTCCTAAAACTTTACCATTACATCTTGGAATGTTATAGATGTTATTTTCAGAATAATCAGACGTATCGAATCGAGAAATATTTGCGCGTATCAAATCGTATGCATCATCACATAACATCTCATACACTAAACTATCGGTATCCATGTACAACAATTTTAAGCGGTCGTCGCTAAATTGATGCTGCATAAAGTTATAATGAAAATCGTACATTCTAGTTTTAGAAATCTCCAAAATTGCCATCCCAACATATAGCGGCTTATTAAACAAAATTTCGGTTTTTGATAACTCGATAGCTAGTAATTCATCATCGAAGATTTCCCTGCTATGAAAATTGGGCTGAGATATGTAGTAATTGGCTCCGTACCTTCCGCTCCACCGAGTAACGAGTTTAATAATGCGATGGTTCCGCACATTCTCCATCGTTTTTCCAAAATTAGCGTTATTTAATAATTTATAGAGATTCTTTTCGAAGGGGTTAGCGGCTTGTGCTCGCAACCGTGCATTCAAGTCTATATACGGTTTTAACCAACAAGACTGGTTGAAAGTTATCGCGCGATGAACTTTTTCAAGCACAAGACCTGCTTGAAGACATTGTTTTAAATTTCGGTAGTGAATTACGTATCTAGTCTTTGGATGCAAAGTTGCGAGCAACTTCTTATTTTTGCTACCCGGCGGAGTGCCATGCTCAACGCAAAACGGAATAGATTTATGCCGATCGTGCAAATGCTGAGGATATGATAAATCCACTTCTAAAATGAGACCTTCAGCCGCATTATCCGATATATTCAATATCGTTTCAGGAGTTAATGACTTTAATTTAGACTCGCTAAGCCACTTAAAGTTGTTTAGAGGTAAACATTGGCTTTGAGCCCAACCATATAAATTAACCATATCCATATACATGATATGAGTAGAGGGTTTACTAGGATCAAAATTCTTTTCATCCAAATATTTATGGTTAGCCTTGCTGTATTTTGTACAACATTGCGTTATGCCTCCTCTTATACCTTTTTCAACAAACAACATCATATCAACATCTGTGAGCAGCTCGAGTTTAACTTTGGTGTAATTCAGCATGCATTGCCATGTGTATCCGGGCGCTGTGAAAAAGAATGCTGGATCGAGTTTATGCGTTGTTATGCATTTTTCTCTAAAGTTGGTGAATACATCAGCAAGTAGAAGCACATCGCTCATTAGATAAAGATCGCTATATTGACCTAAATTTTGAATATCAAATTTACGCCAAACGTTTCGAGCATGCGAATATTCTTGATCTGAAATATGAGATTGCTTCAGCTTGCTGTAAAATTTTGTCTTTTCCGGTAAATCTTTTTCCATAAATTTATCCCAACTACACATATATTCATACGGATATACACCCTTTTTGGTTAAAAGTTTCAACTGTTCATCATTTAAATGGCTTAACGTGCTGCGCAAAATTTTGAAATCGTCAAACTTTAAATAGGACGCTAGATTATCTAATGATTCGCTCATGAAACGATATGAATCTACGAATCTGAATTCGACATCTGCATTTTCCATTTTCTTAGTAAACGAAATGTATCTTTCTTTATTCTTAGGTAACAGCGTGACTTTACCCGGAATAGCTTGCGCAATATCCTTAATAATGAAGTGACTGTCGTATCCACTAAAATTATGGAAAAATACGGGTATCATATGGGGTACTTTATAACGTAGATTACACGACTGGTGAGCGCTGCCGCGAAAACGCCCCGTAAAGTGACAATGATCGCGTACTTTGACGTGGGTCTCTAAAAAGGGCTCTTCGCAGATGTGACAATGAGTGGATGCATTATATCCTAACATTTGCAGATCACTTAACGGTTCCATTTGTACTGGATTGATAAAATATTCTTGTAAATTGTTTGAAATTTCCTCAAGTTCACGGGTAAACCAATTAATACATTGCTCACCCCTTTGCAGTCGGAACCGCGACAATGAATTGTCAAAGGTGCAATGTAGATAATATGCAATGCTACATACGTCATGCTGCTTATATTTCACGGTGTTTTGCGTCTCATCATCCTGAAAATCTTTCACCAAACATTCTAAATCACAATAAACGATGAAAGGGGCGGTTTGTTTGAATTCGTGATTTTTAAAATATACATGTGAACCGGGCTTTGGCATGTTTATCTTACACTTATTAACTAACTTACAATCTAGTTCATGAACCCTAAGTTTATCTATTGAATTAAAATAGTGGAGACACCTATCGCAAATATACAGTTTTCCGCGATTTTTCGTTAACTGTGAACGTACCAATCTGGACAAATCTTTGATCCAACAGAAATGAAATCGAACCGCTTCATCGGGTTCCTCACTATTGTGAGCGGTATCATTATTCTCAATATCCTTTTCGATTTCATAGTTCTGCTGGATCATAAGTAAATTAACGTGATTCGCTTTCTTTTCGGTGTTAAGATAAATGGGAACAGTGACATAATCGGATTGTGTTTTTCTAGTAAGGCCGTAAATATTGATAGATAAATTTGGATTTTGTTTTAAAAATTTTGGTAACTGATCTAAAGACATGGGGAAACTAATACCATCAAAATTTAAAATTTGCGCATAATATGGATATGATGATACGCGATCGCTATCTCGAGCAGGGGGGAAAAGGGCTGATGACAACGCCCACCCAAAACACGCCTCATCATTATTTTTAACATTGATGACCGCTTTTTTAGCTTTAATTTCTTTCGGTAATTCTATAAACGATGACGCATGCAACAATGTCACGCTGTTTACGTTCACAGTTAACGAAATTATCTTGGATAGTGCCCAACCACTATCTTGCTCCTCGAATTGCATTAATCGATCCATCAGATAGTCTACTACGTTACTATTAAATAATTGTTTTAAGCTAGCCTCATTTAAATCCCCGGATAAGATATTAAAATTCTTTGTTAAAAAACTAAATTCCCTACATGCTAATACTTCATTATTTTTATTTATCGCGGGTTTTACAAATTCCGCGCAAAACTCAAAATTTGTTTTTAGCGGACTATTATATCTAGGAAATATACCTCTAATCTTACTAATAAATAACTTACAACTATCATGAAAAAATGGCCCTAAAGTCTTATGTCCTAGGTTAACAAGAATCCCGGTACTCACACGTGTCTTGAATGCGGTCGCTAGATCCCTCCATTCCACCAAGGGTCTTCTAGCCAAGGAGGAGCCGGCTATAGATTTCCCCAGTTGACCAATAAGCACCTTGTAACGTTCCATTTTTCCAGCCATAGCTGCAAGGTGCCGTTTATCTCCAACCGATATCGAACCCGCTAGCGAGGATTTAATTTGCCTAAGATTGGCATCGATTATGTTGGTGATTTTCGGGATCTTGCTGACATCGCCGAGATTATAGTTTTTGTAGAAATGTTCAATAACTTCAAGCGTGCTATTTACATTATCGATGGTATTAGCCATTTTTCCTAAATCGATATAATTAAAATATGCAAATAATCTGAAAACACTTGCCTGATATTTGAGGCTTGAAACTGGAGAAGATACAAAGCGCACTGAAGCTTGTTATAGAAACCAATCAAGTTATAATTTGCTCACACATACCTTTAGATGCTTTTATATAGGAGTTGAAATTACGGAGGGGGTATAATCCTTATCGCCAAGAACCTTGATGACCATAAGAAAAAACAAATAACGAAACCAGAAAATTACAAAAGCAGGCTTAATACATTTATTCGTATTATTGTTACAATACCAATTTAATTGCCTATTGTTATTAATTCTACTTTCGGCGTATCGTTCTTGAGAAAACCATTTAACACGACGCCCATCCTCAAATTGTTCAATTGATCGATCACGTTTTCTTCCATTTCTTTAACCATCCGCTGCGGTAGGAAAATTGAAGCATTACCCGCTATTTCGCACACTATCCCTCGTCCATATTGGGTTGATATTGCTTTGATTTTTTCTATTTCGTATATTTTTCCCACTTCCATGTCTCGAACTTTAATAACGGTTCTTTCAACGGCATTTCCAATCGCGTTAATTCGTTGCAAGGATTTATTTAGATCCATTATTGTTACTCGAATACAATTTTGATACTATCTATAATAATATAAGTGAGATTCTTATATACTCGCGCGGTATCCTTTGAAAACTAATCACCAGGAAATGAAAACCATGATCAAATACACCGCAATCAGCATCATTAAACATATACTCGCGCGGCATCCTTTGAAAACTAATCACCAGGAAATGAAAACCATGAACAAATACACCGCAATCAGCATCATTAAACATATACTCGCGCGGCATCCTTTGAAAACTAATCACCAGGAAATGAAAACCATGAACAAATACACCGCAATCAGCATCATTAAACGAAAAAAAACAAAAAAAAAAACGTTAAAGGCGGAAATTATTATCAAAAGAGATCGTAATGAAAACCGCGGCAGGAAACCATAAACCCACCATTATTCCAGCACCATGATGAAAAATACCGCAATCAGCATCATTAAACGAAAAAACGTTAAAGGCGAATGATTGTAGCAGTTCCTTTGACGAGGTGATTGGTACCTATCTTGCGATTCTTGTTGTATTTGTGCACTCATCTCGATATAAATCGATTTCTTACTTTCTTATTGCTTTTATACCTTCTCTTAAAACTACTTTGGAGGGGATTAAAAGAAATCCATCATGCGCAGTGAATCTTAAAGGTATAGGTATAAAACTGAGAACGAGGTATGCTAAAAATTATTGCGTTAAATCCTCATATCGAACGCTAATGGATCGAATACTTGCCAACATCGCTCAGCGAGAGGCTCAAAAGGAGTCTAATTATATCGAGACGAAGAGCGAATTGTTAAGTTTAAGTGTAGAGGAATTATTGAAAATATGGATCAAGATCCCCAAGGTGTTGCAAAGAGACTGTGAATTACGTAATCGAATACGATGTACAAAACATTGGAACCAGCCGTGGCAGCGCACTCACATCGATGGACCCGCTCCGCTAATGATTTATTGTAATGATTGTATTTCGTCAAAGCATATTCGAAAACCAATGTCATATTAGAATGTAATATTAGAATAATGCGTCTAAAAATAAAGCATAAAGAAGATAAGATTTTTCGCACACGATTTAAGCGTCTTATCATAGCTGCTATAAATAAACACTATTGCGAGATTGCAGCTTCCCATCCTAATTATAATAACAAACAACTAAATTTCGCGCGCTGTTACTAAAGAAAATATGGATCAAGATCCCCAACGTATTGCAAAGAGACTGTGAATTGCGTCTAAAAATAAAAATAAAGCATAAAGAAGATAAGCTCATTTCCTTTCTAGTTAGCAATATGAATACTTATTTTTCGCACACGAGCGTCGTACGTATTATTTTATCATTTTAACGCGCTTCCCCGCCAAATAGCCCCTAGCCCCTAGCCCCTATCGGCGACGCACCCCCGCGTTATACCCTTCTACAACTCGCAAACATCTCAATGCTCTCCGTAGCGTTGTGTGGCTTGTGAGCTTATACGGCCTACTAGGGGCATCTACCGCTCCTACTGCTACCCCATACGATTTACCCTCTACGTCCCTGCAATCGCGCTCCCCCCACATTCTAACAATACTTGAACTGCTAAACGTTCATATCTCAAAGCCTCGCTTAGCTCAGATGGTTAAGGCGGCAGATTCGTAATTCACGTATCGTGGGTTCGATTCCCAACGCAGATTGAAAAAAAAAAATTTTTGTCTATAGCAATCACGTGACCGATGAGGCGGGTCCAAAATAACATCCAAGATGCATAGGGGGGCGTGCTCGTCTCTGATTGGCTGTGACGTCACGAGCTCGTCTCTGATTGGTGTGACGTCACTTCCTGCGCCAGAACATACATAGGTATTGGTGTGACGTCACTTCCTGCGCCAGAACATACATTGGTCATCTACTTTACTTGAAAAGTGTTTTTGCTTTTAGGTATGTGCAATTGTGCACGACTCAAAATACACATAGGAGTTCAGTCACAAACACACCTACAGAAGAATTTTATAAACCTCTCGCCAGGAAAGATTGCCGGTTACAGAACACTTGATCCCGGTGTACAATCTATGTTTTTCTAAAGATGTGAGCGACTTCCGGGATAATATCGTGTCAATGTTGAACAAAAAGACTTTTCGTTCAACATTGGCACGATCCTAAGCCGCTCGCATCTTAACAAAAACACAGATTGTAGATCGACACAAGGTGTGCTGTAACCGGCAATCTTTCCTGGCGAGAGTTATATATAAAAATACTTACATTTATATATTATGCAATATGCATGTAATACTAAATTATAAATCTTTCCATTCCATAAGTAAAACTAGTCGACTATACGTCGAGAATCGTACGTATGCACTACAGTAGTATGCACTGGCCACTGTGAAACGTCCAAGAAATAAACCAATCAAACTACTTCATATCATTACAATAATAGACACACAAAACAAAACTCTTTTTGGTATTAGAATTATTACCAAATTCATATAGTACATGAGGAATGTGTGGTGGAAAGTACTTACTACAGACTCAAGTACGTCACAATCGGCAGCGCGTTCTATTGGTTGGTTGGAAGTGATGCAACCGTTTAGTATACGGACCGGAGTCTGTAGGTATAGGAACACCTCTGACTGGAAGGTTTGTCTTGAATTACATTTGATTATGGTGCAGTGTGAGGTTCATATAGGGTCATATAGTAAAATGCAGCGTCACTTTTGCATTTACCTTTAGCGAGTACACTCGTATTTAGCATTAATTTTCTATTTCTCGTATACATTTTGTGCTATACGTAACAAAAGGTATTTAGTTTTAATTGTAATTCTTTGCTTTATTTCTTCTCCAGGAAACTCACCAAGACATAATGCAACTACAGCACATTCGACATGGAATTATTAGCGCTTATGCCGCAATCAAACACTTCGCCTATTTCTTAGAAGGTCCAACTGCCTGTGGGATAATATACCCATAAGTATATAAGATAAAGATAGAAACATAAGCAATTTGAAGATATGGCAATCAGTCCATCGTCAGATCGTAGATTAGAGGTGTCAATTTTAGCGCCAAATTATCCACGGCGCATGTGGAGTGTTTTTTTTATTTAACACTATCGTTAATATGTATTTATGAA